CAAAGTGCTGTTCAAAGCATCATTTCTCAACCAAACAATTTAGAAAGAATCCTAACAACAGACACCAGAGTGAGAATATTTTCACATGCCCTTGATTAGGAACAAGATATGGAGTATGGTGCCTGTTTTAGCTACCCTACTTCACTCTGATCAGCCCATCTACTTCCAGACCCTGACCCTCTGCTTGGCATACCCTTTTCTCTTCCATTCTTGCAGCATTAAAGACCAGATCTTGTGCCCTCTTGCCTGATCCTACTGTGACTTCCACTCTCTGTTTTCCTTGCTACTTCCTGCCCAAACAATTTTCACTGGTCCTAATGCTAATATCAGTAGGTAGGTCTGTCATTCCCTATCACAGTGCTCCTTGTTCTCTCACCTAAGGCAACTGTTTGTACAGGGCTTTTCCAGAATTTTCCACATATTTCATTTCATTTTACCTTCAAAGTGTTGTAAAGTGGGTAGGGCAGAAAACAAAACTGAAATCTTATAAACTGTAAACTGAGTATCACATAGTTTATGTGATTTGTTTGTTCAAATTTCCAAAGCTCCTGAGAATGGAGACTAAAACTCAGGACTTGTAATTCCTACTTTAGGGTTCTGTGAGGCAGAATTGTATCAATAGGAAGCATGAGCTTCAAGACAGGTACTTTTGGGATTTGAATCCAATTCCCACTCCTCACAAGCTGTGGTGTCCTTAGATGGGTTATTTAACCTCTCTGAGCTAAAATCTGAAAACCCAAGAAAGATTCCAGCAAATCAGCAGAGAAACCTCCTGAAAAGAAATGGAAGTACATCTAGCTTTAGTTCATTATTTAGATTGAGATGGGCATCCTAAATCCAGGATCTCAGGGAGAATAAAAGCAATTATACCATGGCAAAATAAAGTAGACTCTTTATACTCAGGTGGGGAACTGCCAAAAATCACCTCATACATTTTTAAATGGTCTCTGTTACTATTCTAAACAGTCTTGTGTTACAGACACCTAGCAGTACTTTCCTTACAAGAGCTCTTCCATAGCTGAACGTTCCTTTTTTGGCTATGGCATGACTATACCTCCAATGAGCTTTGGTTTCATGGTGGGGAAGGACCAAGGGTCCTACCTCACACATCAGAGCCTTTCCCCAGATTTTCACCTGACCTCTTTTCTTCGTCAGCATCCAGTTCAGAAGTGTCTCTATAATTGGCTGTGACTCTATTCAATTCCCATTCTTTTCTTGTATCATGAAACTTCCCTTTCTTCAAATTGTTCCAAATAACCTTCAGCTTAGCCTGCAGAATGCTGTGCTGGACACTTAGTGAAGCACCTGCTATGTATTTTCTCATTTAAGCTTCAACCACTCGATAATATATATTACGGTCCCCACTATACAAGCAAGGAGATCAATATTTAGAGTAAGTCCAGATTATTGGTGAGTAGTCCAGATTCCCACATCGAGAGGTGATGGTTAACACCAGCTCTGACTCCAAATTCAGAGCTTCTATTAGTTCTACTCTTCTAGCTCCCATGCTTTATTCCACCAAGGTATAAGGTACATTTCGTCATTGGGAAAGTAAAACACTCATTAATGTTTGTACTCATTAATTAGCATATGCAAAAAAAAAAAGTGAGCACAAGCTACTTGACCATATGCTGACCTTGTGTCTCTCTCCACTTTGGTCAAAAATCTTTATATCTGTGTTTTCTTCCATTACGAACTCCTTCAATCAGGGTCTTTATTCCTTTAATACAACCTTTCACAAGAACACTTGGTAAGTGGGCTTTATTTGAAGCGAGCTAACAACAATAACAAAACTGAGATAAAATGGCACGGTGATTACCTATCTCCTAGAAGGGGGAAGCAAAATGGAAGGCTTATTTATCACCCTTCAGATGGTACCTGTTCCTCAAAGACTAGGCCTTAAGCATGGCAAAGCTGTATTTCTTGGATTTTCTGCATCAGTTTCATTTTCAAATGTTTTGTCCTGTGGCCGCACAGTTGATTCACAGTTGTCAAACTTTGTGTCCTCATTCTATGTTTGTAAAATATGTTCATGGTACTTAAAAATAAACTTCTATTTAAAAAAAAAAAAAAAACTGGCCTTAGAACTTGAGATGTTTTATTTTTGAAACTTGCCCCAAAAGCTTATTTCTCTGAGATCTGGGGACTCTCTTTATTTGCCTTCATGCAAATCCCTTAACCCTGCAAATGTCCCTCTGCACAGCTCCCGAGAATCTTGGTGCCGCTGCCCACTCAGCCCGGGTGGCCCCTGCTCACCCTCCTCTGCAGCTTCCAGCGCATTCACGTATCTGACCCCTCAGGGCTGAGCCTTCCACTCTCCAGCTTCTGTGGTATCAGGACCTCCTTCTTTCTTCCTTTTCTTCTTTCTACTTACCTTTTGGAAATCTTTTCAGGTAAGAAGTCAGATAATTTTTAGGTTATTTTAGGAAATTGCTTAAAAACCACTGTTTGCCTTTTTTTTTTTTTTTTTTTTTTACTGGAAAGAGAAAAAGAGAACATGGAATATTTGGGTGTGGTTACCACGGCGGCGAGGTGAATAGGGGAAAGAGACCAGAGAGGAATTTCATTACCATCACCTCACTGCTTTCAATCCTCCCTTTTACCCCTAGAAGTAGGAACCAGGGGGCCCACTGTGGACGCAGGCTGCACCTAAGAGCTATGCCATCTCAACTCTTCATTACTTCTCTCCTTAGTCAGATCCCAGTATTGCCATTATGAATCAAGTGATGGATTACTTTTAGTCAGGTAATATCTACCACAGTGCTATATAAGGGCTGTATGATGGGAGGATAAAGTAAAGAATAGGAAGGTATGTGAGACCTTGACTAGCCTCGCCATTTTCTAGAGAGGCAAGAGAGCATGTGGTCTTTGGAGCCAGCAACCAATGTTGACATCCTGACTGCACTTACTAGCTACATCATTTGGGCTATGTTTTTTTCCAATCTCTCTGAGCCTCAGTTTCCCCATCTGTCAAACGGAGATAAATAATATCACTTAGCTTGCTGAGTTGTTAAGAGTGTCAAATCAGACAATGTATACAAAGTGCTATGTGCTCGAGCACACGGGAAACACTAAAGCACCTAGAACAAATCAATGAACAAAAGAGCCCAGTCTCTCAACATGGGCTGCATCTTACCTCGTATGATTATATTGTTATTACGCATTTGTAAGAGGCACAACAGAGAAACAACTAACCAGCGTAACCAATGACCTTTTCTACAAGGGCGGGAGGGTGGAAGTGCTGAAATATTGCACGATAGCCTGCATAACCAAAAAAAAAAAAAAAAAAATTATTTTCACCTGTCATGCTCTCAAGTATGCACTTATTTATGATTCAAAAATTTGGCTCATCCATCTTGGCCTTCTTTCAGTACAACATTGTGCCCTCAAAATACCACTGCTAAAATAGAGCATAATCAGCTAAGGACAATGATGTTAAAAAAAAAAAACCTACCTGAAGCAAAAGCTCAAGGGGTTTGTCACAGTTGGTCTATATTTTCCATTCTGCTTCAGTTTATCCCACCTCCCTCAGCATGGGCTTCTAGTGCCATAGTTTGTTTTTTAATGTCTTTACCTGTGCCCAGATCAATGGAAGAATACCTTCCTCATATGCAACCCGCGGTCCCTTCATTGAGTACTTCAACTTGACCTTTCCTAGACTGAATAAAGGAAGCTCCCAAACAGAAGAGTCATCTCTGCCTGCTGCCGACAGATGGCGGTAGTGATCGCACACGGTTACTTGAGCCTGCTAAACCCCTGCACTGTAGTGGTTCTCAACTGGCCAAGGAGCACGCGTGCTGTCAGTGCTAGCTTTTGAGGTGTTTACAGACCTCAGTGGCCCCACTGCACGTCCTTTAAGTACAGAACTACAGACAGTTTTGAAAGTGATGGTAAGAAGTAGAAGATGACAAAGCAAAGATAGAGACCATTTAAAAAACCCAAAGTGATGAGAGGCAATAAATCCTGCACTTGTGGTGAAATGAATCATTCTAAGATATGAATAACTGCAAAGGACAATGCCTATGTGAGAAGCGCTGTACCTAAGCAATGAGCAATAATCAATAAAGCAAGGAGAAAGAAAGCTCTGAATAAGTAAAAAATGGAAAAACAAAACAGAACCACAAACAAAACACCTTGGGCACCTAGAGAATAAGCATCACTGTCAGATGCTAATTAGCTTGTCAGAGAACAGTTAACCTCCCGTTAACGTAGAAGTCTACGATTTCTTTGAGGCCATAAAGCTGCAGTGCTCAACCTTAATCACACACTAGAATCATGTGGGAAGCTTTCAAGAAGCCAGCCGTCCAGGCTGCACCGCAGGCCAACAATCAGAATCTCTGGGCGTGGGACCCAGGCATCAGGAGTGTTGAAAGCTCCTCAAGTGATCCAATGTGCAACCGAGGTTAAGAACCATTGCCTTCAAATCTAAGCGTGGAGAAAATGCAGCTGCTACTGGTTCCATGGATTAAAATCCATTCCAATGTGTAGATCCCCGTGTGACACGCACAGACACCCTAGCAGTAAGTACTTCCCTATGACATTTGTATCTGCAAGGAGACAAATAATCTGCCTCAAGGGATTTTTTCTTTTTATAGTCTTGAAGCTGGCATGAGGCGGGGGGGAGTAGAATATGTGTTTCCAAAAAAGAATATAGCACGCCTTACTTTAAAGGTTTAAAGGAGCTATGCACACACATATTTGAAGAGAATGTATCACAGAACTCTAAGCTTCAACATCTCTTAGTCATTTCAGTGAATCCATTTACAAACAAATGGACACACACACCTGTTCAAGACTATAGGCGCTCTGAATACTTGTACCTTTTCCTCACCTTCATCTCCAAAGGAAGGGACTGATCCCTGATCCATCTACTTACTCAGAGCATTCTGGTTACTTTCCATCTTTCATCATCCAGTTTTACATTAAAACACATGCGTCATTCAGTTCTCAATACAAACAAAACCCACCCCCAAGTTCTCCTCCCTGTAGCCCTCCTTTACCTTATCTGCCATTATCATTGAGGAGCCTCCGTGGATGCCCAGGATGGGGGTGAGAGTCTGGGCTGAAATGAAGTCAAGGATCTGGGCAATGGCCTCCTGATCTGTGTCATCAGCAAACACCACGCCCTGGATCTTCCGGTCAGACATGAGATCACAGATGCGGGTGATGATGCTCTTTGGGTCAGTCTCATTCATGGCTACCAACTCCACACGGGGTACCACGGAGAGATGGTGGAAATCATCTTTCTCGTGGGCATCCTTGATGGCCACCTCGTCGGAAGTGCCCACGAGGATGACAGCAATGCCAATGCTGGGGGGGCTCTTCTGAGAACGAGCTCTGCTGCCTGACACGGCCAGGACAGCCAACACCAACCAGAACTTGGGAGAACAGCACTCTGCTCTGGGCTTCATCTTCAACTCGTCGACTCCCTGAAAACACAAAGAGAGAGTGGTTAAATTATGACTCTACTCCATGACCTATCTTTGAAGGGGCTGGATACTGCAAGTCAAGGGCCTTATCTCCTTTCACTGATCATCAACCCAACGTCTATCTTCAAGCCTAGTCCCTGATCTCTCGTGTCTGCTCATCAGAATGGGAGAAAGAAAACGAAACTTTCAAAAACATCAGGAATCCTTAAGCAAGACAATAAAAGCTATTGCTATGGCCATCAACGGTAAACAGAGGCAAAGGAGGGACAGAGGACGCAAGTGGTCCAGGCAGTCATGCCAAGGGGTGGTCCCTCTGGTGCTGTGTGATCCCTGGCACTTCTGCCACAACCCATCCTTGAATTGCTCTTGGGCCGAGGGAATGGCAGAGACCAGGCAAATGAACTGCAAAATGGACTCAGCAGAGGCTAGGAACAAAACATGGTCTGGATAAGCCAGCTATAGAGAGCTAAAGAAACATAAGTCCCTTTACTTTGTGCTCACCTCAAAGAGGACAAGAGCCTGAAAAATTCTTCAGCAACTCTTTTAGTAACTGACTTTTACTACTACGGGACAACAACAACAACAACAACAACAACAAAACACCATAAACCAATATGTGGACAGTACTTTAAAAAACATCTCAATTGATCTTGACAATAACCCAACAGGGGAAAAAATAAGAAAGATATTATTATTCCCCTTTTATAGATATTAAAGCTAAGGCTCAAAGAAGCTAAGAAGTCCAACACTGTGAACCAATTAAGTGAAACAGACATGAATCCAGATCTTCTGGTTTTTAGGTCAATTTACATTTCATTGCACTACACCACACTGCCTCTCACATTGTCAATTGTTACAAGGAATAGGATTTTTGGTTTTTCTTTTTAATTAGGCTCAAATTCATGACCATGAGATCAAGACCTGAGCTGAGAACAAGAGTCAGACGCCCAACTGACTCACCACCCAGAGACCCCTATAAGGAATAGTTTTATTGTATTTGTTATACATCAAAGTATGGTGATGTGGACAAATACTATTGATATCTGTAGTAATGTTCGAGCCACGTTAGAAAAATTTTCCATGGCATCCTATAGCAACGACTTCCTTGAGATGACTGACTCTGTGTTTGCACATAATTCACCACCTTTTACCTACAACACACTCCTGCATTTTGCTTCCCCATATGCCCCTAAATCTTACACTATGCACCAGACTGAGGACACAGCTCCCTACAGAGCTTGGTCATTTCCCTTTACATTTCTAGCCATTCTCCAAGGGCTCTTCTTATTTAAATAGAACCGATCCTGCTTATGTTGTTTTGACTTGTTTTAAATAATCATTTATGGCACACCTGTTATACTCTGTGCACTGTGTTAGGCATTTCCTTATATGCGATCTCTTCAGTCCTCATAGAAATCCTATAAATTAGTCACCTTTATCCCCATTTCTCAAATGGAGAAACTGAAGCTCAAAACAGTTATGTAATTTTCCCAAGGTGGGTGATATTATAATACCAGCGTGCCAATATGTAAACATAGCATTTTTGTTCTCCAAGGAAATATTCTACAAACTGTACCCAAAATCAGAGGCAGGGATTTTCATTCTTCTACAAAGATCAAGGATGAAAGTGCTACTTAATATCTCCTACTTGCCTGTAAGAAAAGGTAAGGTACCACGGATTTAAAAACTTTGAGAGTTTGAGAGTTCAACTAACAAAAAGAAAACAATGAGGGTATTGAAAAGAAAGATAAGGAAGCATTCAGTCTGAAGAGACTGACTGCAAAGGGCATTAAGGATTCAGGAGTGAGAGGCTGGGGACATTTTGTGGCTGAAGAAGCACAAAATCCAATCCAGTTCTTGGCAGAAAACACTTTGGAACTCTCGCTGTGGTGCTCATTCTTCCACACTGCCAAGAAGGAGAGCTATATTGATCGCCTTGTCTATTGCTTATGAATAAGACGAGTAGCTCAGTGGTTCAACCCTGAGCACAGTTCACTCCTGACAGTCTTCCGGTCTCCGTGAGCCCTGGAAACCCAGGCCGATGAACTGTATCCAACCTAGCAAGAGGCCCAGGGCCCACATTCCCCGTCCTGTAGCTTAAAGCAAAGTGGTGCTGTATGGGGGTGAGCGGCACTGAACATGCAGGGGAAGACAGATAGGTTGAGCACCTCAAAGAGCTGTTGGCAAAATAATAATTATAAGAATAATCTGTTCAATTTCAGAGACTGCCTCTCAGGAAGAACCAAAAGATTTCAAATTTGGCAAAACCGCGGCCAACTTCATTCCAATGAGATTCTGATCCTACACTGACAAGTCCCTAAATCAGATTCCTTCACGTTGAAAAGTGGTCCACCCTGCCATGACAGTTTATTAACTTTAATGCACTCTACACTCTCCCACTTTGATGTTTTATTTGCTCTTTTTAAACTATCTCTTGTGTTCCTCTATTTCTTCTCACACAATATATTAGACTTTGTTATGCAATGGCTAGTTGTGACACCCAAAGAATAGAATCTGGTTTTACAGAGCGTCTCTTTTAAACTCAGGATAGAGCAGAGCACTTTACAAAGCAATACATTAAGGCAGATACCAGCAACACAGGGGCAGTGAGACAAACAGAGAAGCTGCTTTGAATACAAACTCAGTTTCACACATTAGTAGGGGGTCAGTTGAGAGAAAACATGCTGTCCAAGGTAAGCAAATTGCTTTTGCTCCCTTCCACAGACAGACCACAGTTAGTCTTGATGTGGCTGCTTGATGCAGCTTTGCCGCCAACCCTCCCCTGGACTTCACTCTCCCTTGGTAGAACTGAGCGCTGTTGCCTTTGGGCTCTCACGAGAGCCTGCATGTATCCACCTAAATACCTGCTTATTATAATCATATGATTATGTGACTGCCTCTCTTAACTAGTTGGTATTCTCCTTGCAGGCAGGGGCTCTTAGGCTCAGTCAGCATTTACGGAGCCCCTACTCCCTGGCAAACATTGTTCTTGGTGTGGGGGATTCAAGAGGCACAGGCTCTACCCTCCACAGTCTAAGAGAAAATATACATAAAGAAGACCTCTTCTCATTTCTATTTGCATGCTTGGGATCTAGCGGGGCCTCACATACCACAGGCAAGGACTCCATAAATATAAGCCACTGAGTTTCTACCATTATAAAATTCTACCAATTTTATAATGGTAGAAAATGGTCAATATTTGACCATTTTTACCTATAACAGTAGCCTATTTTACATATTATGTACTTAGAGTAACATTTTGCCTATAATTTACCATATGCCAGACTCTATTATTGCCAGGTAATTTTCCTGTATTATTAAATCACATATTAACATTTTAAGTCATAATTCTTCCCTATATTATAAAGAAGGAACCTGATCTTCTGAGAGGTTATAAGTAAATGACAAAGTTCACGCAACTAATAAGGGGTGGTATTAAAATTTGTCTATCCCCAAACCCTTGCTCTTTCCTTTCTCCTACCTCTCAATATAATAAGAGTATATGAATAAATGAGTACATGAATGAATGAATGAATGAATGAACAAAATCACCAACCAAAACCCAATTGCATTTTGATACCAGGTCCGCATTAACTAAGTCCCTGAGGATGAACAAGTCGCCCAATCACTGTCACCATTTCCTCGGCAGGGAAATCAGGATATATGCCCAACCTAAATACCTGAAAGCGTTCTTGTGAGGATCAAACGACAGAATGTATATGGAAGTGCTTTGAAGAATATAAAGTACTCTATAGATGCAAAGGATGTTACCTTTAAGCTTCTACAGAAGTTGTTCAAGGAAACTAGCTATTTGTGAAAGCAAAAAGTCAGCATGTGGGAAATGGTAAGAGAAAGGCAGACCAAGGCTGAGAGGAATATTAAGAGGAATGTCACAGGGGGCAAGACATATTAGCTCCCTGACCGATACAACTCCCTGAACAACATGCTTCAGGTTAGCAGCAAGCTCAGCTTGCTTACTTGGCTGCACTTGGCTTACCAGTCAAGTGCAGCAGAATTCAAGAGTCATTCAGGCCAAGGTCAGTTATGGCAATCAGGGGAGCTCGGCACCCCCAGACCATGCTGCCCAGAATTCGGGCACCAGGATGCACAAGCAGAACCAACAGCAAAGCGGCAGGATTGGAGACGTGACTGCCCACTTCCTGGCCCTCTGCCTCCTTGAAGCACAAGCTGAGTGGTCATCAGATGTCCGGCAAGCAGAAGACCACAGCAGCTGAGGTTCATCATTCCTCCAGCTGGTACAGGGGTCACTACAGCAGGAACCAGTCCACACTTGGCCCACACTGGCTCCAAGGGAAGACACATCTGAGTGAGGATCTGAGCCAATCCTGTCCTCAAAGAAAACTGATCCTGGGGCAACACCAACGGGAAGGATAAAATGTGATTTAATAGATGATTAACTCAAATTTTCCAAGCACCATCCTATAATGCAGTCAGGACCATGCTGTTTGGAGTGAGCCAGTTAAGGAGACTGTGATTAGAATATGACATGCAGTGAGAGAAATGAAGATTAGAAGTGCCAGAACTAGGACACCTGGGTGGCTCAGTCGGTTGGGCGTCTGCCTTCGACTCAGGCCGTGATCCCAGGGTCCTGGGATCGAGTCCCACATCTGGCTCCCTGCTCGGTGGGGAGTCTGCTTCTCCTTCTCCCTCTGCTGCTCTCACTGCTTGTGCTCTCTCTCCGTCTCTTTGTCAAATAAATAAATAAAATCTTTAAAGAAAAAAAAAAGTGCCAGAACTATACATCAGGTCCAGTTTCCCAAGCTACCAATAAAAACAGGCCTTAAAATTCCTAACATTAGAGAGTGTGGGGAAACAAGGAGTCTCATACAGTGTAAGTCAAGTGAAGTATAAATGAATATAACCTTCTTGGAGGTTGGAATATCTATCAAAATTTTAATATCAAGATAAAATAAAGTCCATATGTGAAAACATTAGAAGTGACAATGAGAGATGTCACATACTGGTACCAAGAAGTTACA